GCGCTGCCTACCCCGCTTCGGAGTGAATCAGTCTCATGCAGGGAATGGTTACCTTGCAAGAGTACCCTAGAATCTAAAACTAATATTTTTTACCACTTTTGAGGCCTTTCTTAGTCCTCGAGTTTGAAATGACTTAGTTCTCTAGAGAACGAATGGTTACTCTACACGTGTGACGTTATAAAGATTCTTCGGTAAAGAATGTAATAAAACAAAAAACTGATCGAATTAAAATCTCGTGTAAATGCAATCCAGGGAGTCGAGAAGGCTATTTAGTTCATTATACCCCTCGGGACTGGTCTTTCCAGCTCTCAATAATAAGAGCAATCCCGAGCGAAGTATAGGGATCGTTACACCCCGATAATAGCAATGGTTAGAAACAAAAGAAGTTCATGCATATGCAATATACATACCTACTGCATGTATCAGTTTTTATAAATTTCTCAAAGACTTTCACTGGTGGTCATATTACCAGAAATGAAATACTCAAGCTATACCGATGGCGATGAAATTAACACAATTCCAAAACAATTAAAACTTAAATGAAAGTATGTCCTCATTTTAGAAAATAGTTTGAAATAAGTTTCAATTATTACCGAATCGTGTTAATTGCGTCGCGTGTATATGAAAATATTTTATATATATTTGCATTTGTGCAAGTTCTCGCAGATTTCCCCGTGTATTCATTTGCATAAATACACCCCAAAGCTCAACTATAAAAACTATCCCCTAAACTATAACCAGTCTACGTCCAAACGCACGTACCATTATCTATAGCATTTCAAGCCCTAGTACCGCGCAAAATCGAACCAAAAACCAACAGTCATGCTTCGGAATGTCCCCTTCGCAGGACGAAGGTTTCTCCATTTATAGAACGCAATCGTCTAGGAATCGCGAAAAAAGGACCTCGAACTAGCCCCTCCTTTTTCCGAATGATCCCTGTTCGCGAACGAAAGCTCGCGAGCAATGCACCTTAAAAGAGATCAGCCTGTCGCCGTTAGGACAAAAGCTCACCGGTGTGTTTCAGCCTCGAAATAGCAGCGTCGGGACGTCGACTCTCGGGTATCTCGCGTTCCACGGTGCAACGACACTTTTCCTTTCTTCGTCCTCGTCTTCGTCCTCTTCTTCGTGGCGTCGCACACGATTCTTCGAAAATAAATACTTCCCACGCGGCGAATGCCCACGAATCGAATAAATAAATAAATAAAAAAATAGTAAGAGGTAAATGAAAAGGCGCGGGGGGTCGTGCACGAGGTGCGAGTTCGACGCTGCTCCTCCCCCGACCCTCCAACCCACAGAGGACCGTCCAAGTCGACGCGCTTTCAACGACTGCTTGCGCTCGTTCTACCCCGAGACACCGCGAACCTCTCGCACTGGAGCTTTTTTTTGTACCCTTCCGCGCGGCTGCTTTCCCCACCGCCCAGACTTTCCCCTACTATTTTCTCCGAGTTTGGGAGGCGATGAGATTTCGATATACTTTACGGGCTTTCCAGGAGTTTCATCGTTTTCGAGGTGTACTGGTGCTCGCTGATTATTTCGAACGATGAATTTGCTCATTTTATGGTTTGGATATTGGAGATGGGCGGGTTCAGATGTTGCCGAGGGTTCTCCTGGTTATTTTTAACGTTCTGATGGTTTTAGAAAATCTTCGATGTCGACAGTGAATTTTCAAGCATTTTCTGAACATTTTCTTTCGGTTTCTTCTCGAGCTTTTATTTTTATATTTCTTCGTAGGTTTTCCAAGAGTTGAGTATCCAGGAATCTTTGATCGTTTCTGAGGTGTTTATCTTCTTTCTTGTTTATTTTTATTAACTCTGAATGTTTCGATGGAAAATTTTTAAATACAGTCTGTCTGACTCAAAGTGGATTCAGACGTGGTCTGACCATGGCGGAAGAATCCACTGAAATGCTTCGCGAGGAAATACGAGACCATTCGAAGTAAAGTGTACAAACCTGCAAGGTGTACACAAAAATGTCGAAAATACCTGATGCTTCTTTTCCAAAGAAGCAGTATGCCTTATTATTCTATTCCAGTACTTACTATTTGCATCTACTTTGGCACTAAATCGAAGCATAGATAAATAAACCACAAGAAGAATAGTAAAAAAATAAAATCGTCATGATTATTTTGTCGATAGAGGATCCATTTGACGTGCTTCAAAGTGAGTTCATTCAATTCCATTCAATAGAGGTTCTGACTCAGAGTGGATTCAGACTTGTCTGATCATGACGGAAGAATCCACTGGAATGCTTCGAGAGGAAATACGAGACCATTCGAAATAAAGTGTACAAGCCTGCAAGGTGTACAGTGTACACGTACACAAAACTATAAAGAATCTTCTCGTGTGATACTTCATCTAAGTGTCGACAGGGTGATAATTGTTATACATTCATTACAACGCGTCGCATCCCAAGTGTCTGCTCAGACATCCAGTCGAGCTATTTTTTCCGAGTTCTTCGTCTTTGTTCCGTCGTGGGATGCGTATCCGCCGGAACTAGTCCACGATTTACTTTTTTTTCCACTATGGTGACTCGTCGGTGCCTCGGGTTAACATTCTCTTCGACCGGAAATCGCGGCTAAAATTCCTACCAGTCGAATTATCTCTCATTAATCGTAACAAAAATCGTATCGAATCGAGCTAAACGAATTACAACGAAACGACTGAATCGAATCGAACGAATTTAAAATGAATTTAATTTCATCCAATTACTAAAATTACTATCGTAAAAATGGTAGAATTTCATAATCGATCTCTATCCACTCGTAATCGTCTCAATTCGTCGAGATACAATCAACACCCTCCAATCGCAATGGTGCACATCTTTATTCGTACGAAAATCTTATTTGTTAACATTGTTGAATTACCACGAGTTACCCCACAGACCAAGTTTGTATTACAGACGCCATTCTAATTTAAATCTCGCCACGAGAGAAGATCTCGGATCCTCGATACGCGATTATTTTCAAAACGAATGGCGCCTGCAACCATTAAACCGCGATATCGCCGGATGTCGCGTTCCCTTTGAAGCCACGCGTCAGCAAATGTGCATGTCGATGAAGCTTTGCTTGTTCTTGAAGATCGGACCCCAGGAATTGTACTTGTCGCCCTTCTTCGGCGAGTTCTGCTGATTATCGTACATCGTGGCTCCAGTCTTACCCTTCCTGCGTATTTAAAAATTGTAAAATTACATAAAAATCTAATTGAATTCTTTTTTAGACAGGGAAAAGGGGGTCGAGTTTCATTAAATACCTGACGTCCTGGTAGGGTGCCTTTATGACGGATTGTGGGATGTTCGTGTGCACCATTTTAGTTTCTTTTGTAATCCCTCGACCTTGCCCAGTAATCTACAAAATCTCCCTTTGCCCTTCTAACGACGATTTGAACCGATTTGTGTTGTTCTACGCTAGTTCTACGTTGATGCTATTGGACTCTTTTTTTTACCACCTTTAAAAGTAATATAATACAGTCGTAAATGTAGGTTTAGGTTACTTCTTCAGGAGGGATACTCACTCTATGGCACGTGATGCAGGTGAACCAGAACCAACAGTTCTAGACGATTTCCAGCGTTACCTCGTCGACTCCCCTTGCGAGTTCGGAGGTTTTTCGCGAGTCTGTGCAAAAAAAAAATAACAAATACAGTTGGAAGGAAATAAAAATTGATTCCGACCACTTTGTCAATTTACAGAATAAGTACCCTCCAAAATCAATGGCTTGCTGGCCTATTACAACTTAATTAATAATTGTACCAGACTTTGAACAGTGTTTTAATTTATTCGACAATATTCGTTTATTATAAATCAAAAAATATACTTATCATTACGAAACGATGACGCGGAGAGTACGAAGACTCTTTCAAAAATAATAATAATATAAAGAATACAGAAATAATAATTTCCTGGTACTCGCGTATTCGCAGAAATATTACATGTATCAGAGCATCTAATTAGCATATTTATTCAATCTTTCAGTAAAAATTTCACTATTAACAAATTACATCGTCTAACATTAAGTGAAATTCAACACGCGACAAAAAGTTGCTAATAATAATTCAAAGGCGGGTACCGACTAGAAAATTATGAACATCGCTGCCCCAAGTTGCAGGGCAATCGCAATCGTAATTATGGAAGGAAAAAAAATGAAGTCACTTCGACTCGACTTCCTGTTATCGTTGGAAATCGCTTCGATTAAAAACCCGTTTTCGCGCTCACCTGACACTGGGCAAGAACGTCGGGGAGTTGCCTTGGCAGTCTAAGACTTTGCACCTCATCGACACATGCGTCTTCTCGATCACAGCTAAACACCACACGCGTTCTTCTTAGAATTCGCGAGAATTGCGACGACTTCGATTCCGTATAGACGGATTCGACTCGATTGTCCGAATGGAGGAGGAATTTGGAAACTGGAGGAGTTCGGAATCGTCGCTACAAGGCTTTCTGGAAGACTGTTCTCCAGGGACTCCGCCAGCTCTTACATAGTCTCTGGGGGCCCCCTTCCTCGAGCGTCGATCGACGATATCGAGTGGGGATCGATCACAATATCTTCGATCGCATCATAAGAGATTTTCAATTGGTCACGTAGTTGCAAAATACGAGTGTGCCTGTGGTGTGATCGTACAGCACAAGATTAAATGAAATTTGGGAGTCCTCCCACCTTAAAAAGAAGACAATGTTTAGTAGATTCATAATGCATGATTGATGATACTCCTCTGATTTATTTCGAAGTTGATTTACTATTCTGTTTATTTCTTTGAAACATTTGAGAATTACGGAGATAATAATACTATTCATTTTCAGTTGAATTGTTTTTATTAACAGAAGGAGTAGTACTTCACTTTTGTATATGTAATAATATTATACCATTTGTTAATATTTACTGGAACTTCGACGTCAATTCATCCTAAATCTCGCGTTTCCTTTATGACTTATTTTCCTCGTATCGCCGTAATTTCAATAATTAGATCATCAACCTGTTTACTTCGGTAAAGTTACACACATTAGTAATGTACATTACTTACCGAAGTGGACTTGTTGTTCGAACCGGGAAAATTTATATCACAAATTTTCCACGAACTAAACTAGAATTAATTACCTATTTACCTCCGACAAATAAGATTCTCGGAAGCTCAATTAATTCATTTCATGAAAACATGGGTGGAGTAAATCAAAGATGCTCGATTTATCTTTGATTTTTTTTTGTGTTTTTTAAAATTTTATCTCAATTTCCTTCCAAGGAGGATAAGTACGGCACACGATTGTGATAATCACGTTTTACTTTTCAATCGCATTTTTTAAAGCTTCGAAATAACAAAGTTATAGGATATTTTCGAGAACGTGTTTTGGTGGCTCGAGGGCACCATCCGACAGGTTTGAACGTGTTTACTTCGAAATTATATTTTTCAAACTGGTTGAGGAGATTTCTCTAGAAGGAACAAATATTTAGTTTTGAATTTTTATAGTACAATTTCAGATATACTGTTTCTAATATAAAAAGAAAAAGAGAAATTTAACTAAAATTTTGTAAGTTCATAAAGCAATCATTGAACAATAATAATAATACTATTGTAACAAGACAATCTTTTTAAGTGGTTAACAAATATTTGAAATAAACCTAACATTTTTTAATTCATCTCTTTTTATTTTGTTCCTCGATTAAATAAATTCGAGTGAAAAAAACAATTACAAAGCCCCAAGGAGATTTGACAGATGACCACACTCTTAGATGCAACATTTGATTTGATACCTCAAATCGAAGAAATATTTTTGTTATCGACAATCCCCAACCACCGTCTGATATCGCAATTCAGTCGTTGTCGGCGGAGCCGTGCCCAACGAAATAAATTATACATTCATAGAAAAATAAAATATAAATCGTGTAGCTTGCAACTAAAGGCAAACTAGAATCTGATGCAACACCGTTTCTCGGTGTCGTCAGGTTGTTTCTTTTCGACAACGGAAATATTTTGATGAAAGTAGGGTATGGTTGGTATTTTGTACTCGCATTTTAATCAAATAATAGATGAAAATAAAATGTATTGTTTAATGATTTATTTTAAACGTTTATTCCGCCGAATTGTTATTGAGATAATAAAAAAAGCTTGACGTAAATAAGTTTTATATTTTATTTACAGTTAAATAAAATTATAATATTTCATAACAAGTGGAGTATAAATAAAACTGTGTTTATACATGATAATTCTGCTTCTCTAGAATATACACTTCTTATTGGATGGTTCACATTATGGATAAATTTCTTACAATATATTTATTTCATAATTAATAAAAAATGATATGCTCGTTCTGTATGAACAGTACATATCTGAATAGTCTTTATTTATTTCCCTCAAAAGAAAGGGTTGAAAGGTATTTACAAGCAATTAAATATTTTAACTTTAAATATTTGAATCGCTTGTAAATACGAATAAAATAAATGTAATTTTGTAATTGCACTAGAAGCGTGTATCTATCTAGCCTCCACTATGCTTGATTTGGACTCTGGATTTAGATTTATTAAACGATTGGAATTTTCGGCCAATTCGACGATGCTGACCCTACCTCGCTGTTTCATGAACTTCGCGACATCCTCGAGTTCTTGCTGAGAGATATAAATAAATTTTCCTCGATCGTCGATTACGCCTGTTAAGCTACCATTAATTTGTAGCTCTTGAATTCTGTCTATAATGCTTGCTGTTTTCAAGTTAAAGATTGCAGCCAGATCTTCCAGGATTACTACTTTATTTTTTTTAATATATTCAACAAATCCTTGCAATAAATTTTCTTCGTCTTCCTGTTGCTCCTTGTCATATCCTTCATCCTCTATGCTAAATGCTTCTTTCATTTTTAAATATTCTTCATAGTCTCTCTTTTCCTTCTCCTCTCTTGCTTTCTTTTCTGCTTCTTCCTGTCGCAATTCCTCCTCATGCTCCTTCTGGGATTCTTTATCCCTCTGTTCCTGCAACAACTGATCCCTCTTCCTACGCTCCTCTCTTTCCCGTTCAGCTTGCTCTCGTTGTTCCTTCCTCTCTGCTTTTGCTGCTAACTTTGCCCGCTTCTTGGTACCTATCTTCTGATCAGATATATCTGGTTTTTCATCCGCTTCGTCGTTGCCTTCATTTCCAGATGCATCTTCATCATCATTTACTTGTGAAACAACATTTGTTTGCATACGACGTCTAGCATTTCTCTGACCTGCTGCTCGTCTCACTGGTCTGCCTTGCGGGGCTCTCTCTGGTACATTAGTTTGTTTCTTCCGCGTAGCTATAATATATATTCAAAAGAATGAATGTCTAACATCTTCTCAAGAGTCAAACATTCAATGTATAAGGGATGGATAAAATTCTATCATGGTATATCTATTTATCATTTATTGTTTAAACAAAATTTTACCTATTCCTGCACAATCTATAAGCAACTAATAATAACGCATGTTTTTGTCAGAATTGTATAACAATTGTATAATTGTAAACATTCTGACAAAAATTGTGAAAACATGTTTCAATATGGATTTTGAGGTTAGAAATTTAGTCGTAACGAAGAAAGTATCTTTTTATTGTGCAGAAGGAGTTACAACAGATAGGAGAAGAACATACCGGATCTTCGTCCTAGGAACACCGTACAAACGACGATTAAAAGAAGAATTACACCTGTAATAGAGCCTAAGAGAGTGACGTCCATTTTTGTTTTTCTAAAATTGTCTTTATCGAGAAAGGTGATATCGATAATGTTCAGTGGCGCCGCCTGCATATATTTCACATATTGTTTTCGAAGGTGACGTGTGCTGTGTAAGGTCTCAGATAGAATTTTGCCCATAATTTAAGTTTTTATGTGCTGTCACAGCACAGCGTGTAAATAATCATGTTAAAACACGGAAGTATACTCCTCATCTTTCTGTGCATGCTCGAATATGGCACAGGCCTTTATTTTCACATTGCTGAAACCGAGAGAAAGTGTTTCATCGAAGAGATTCCAGACGAGACGACAGTTTTGGGTACGTTAAATGTATCGTTAATACGTGTCGATGGGAACGTCAATTGTTCTGACTCGATTGCACGTTTCATCGTACTTTCACTTATTCCCTTATCATCGTATCTCTCTTATTCCCTTTCTAGTGAATTATAAGGTTGAGATCTATGACCCGAGAACCGGCGGATTCATGCCCAGCAGTCCAGGTATGGGAATGCACGTGGAAGTTCGCGATCCAGACGACAAGATGATTCTTTCCAGAGTCTACAGTTCAGAGGGACGATTTTCTTTCACCTCTCACACACCTGGCGAACATGTTATCTGCTTGTATTCCAACAGCAGTTCTTGGTTCAGTGGCACTCAATTGGTATGGGAACACAATCTTTACTTACGCTAAATAATAGTTTCTACAGCTCCATGCCATTGTTGTTTGATATACATGGTATTTGCATCTACTGTAATAACATTTGATTTAATTACAATCATTTCATTATTCAGAGAGTACATCTGGATATTCAAGTGGGTGAACACGCAATTGATTATGCCAATATAGCCCAGAAGGAAACGTTGTCAGAGTTACAATTGAGAATACGTCAACTTCTTGATCAATTAGAACAGATAACCAAGGAACAAAACTACCAAAGGGTGACTGATTATTTTTTAATGTTCAGTTCTATTTAAATGTCAATTATATTTTAATCTTTTGCTTCTTCCTTAGTATCGAGAAGAACGGTTTAGGCAAACATCTGAGAGTACGCACCGGCGTGTATTCTGGTGGTCCCTTACACAATCTGTGGTCTTGTTAATCATGGGTGCATGGCAAATAAGACACTTGAAGAGTTTCTTTGAAGCAAAGAAATTAGTATAAGATCAAAATCAATTATGTTTAGGGTATTAGTCATCTTAAAGTTTCCTTTGTCAACATATGAGACTCTTATAATTTATTTTAAAAAAGATGTAAGCATTAAATGGTTCTATTTTCATGAACTTTTGTCATTTCTGCGTACGATACTTTGGGCGTGTCCAAGCATGCTCATTGATCAATGTATTCATACAAAACGATCAATTTTTCAGTATAATAGATTCAGTGTATGGTGTAATTTTTCATAGGAATAAAATTGCTGTAATTTTTACGAAATTTGTTCGTTTCTTTGTACATTCGACACAATTCTCTTACATAATACGTTCGTAGTTTTATAGATAAAACAATAAAGACGCACAAAGCAACAATAAATAGTTAACTTATATAAGGAGACATAAGACAGTACATATTCAATTTGAAGAAAACGTAATATGTAAAAATATAGAAATATCACAAAAAGGTGTCAGATGACGCTATAGCCATCTAGCGGTGAATGCCGTACTAAATTTGTTGTATATAAATCAATAATTATTATATTTTGTAGGGGATATGTAGATTTCTACAATTTTAATACTGGTGGCTGCTCCATCTTAGAGGAAACTGCTCAAGTTTGTCGTAAAATAGTTATTAGTTTTTACCGCTAGATGGCGGCCTTAAAAAAATTGGTGGCACTATCTTACTGTAAAAATTGAGAACTATTCCACGACAAACTTGAGCGCTCTTCTTTTAGATGGCGCCACTAAAAAAAATCGGTGACTCCATCTAACGATAGAAATTAAGAACTATTCCACGACAAACTTGGGCTGTTTTCTCTTAGATGGCACCACTAGGAATAAAATTGTAGGGATCTGTACAACCCTCTCAAAATATAGTAGGAGTACAATTTACTTAGTTTATTCACTATATTAGGTAAACAATACATTCGTAATTATACTATAAGCGTTCTAATATTGAAATTCAGCTATAAACTTATTTTACATTAAAAGTATGCTATTTATGTAACGTATAGGTTGGACGAAATAGGCATTAGGGCAATTCCAAACATGTGTGCATCCTTTTGCATCTTCACGTGAAAGTGGCATGCTGCTAGAAAACTTTGTGTTTATTAGCACAAACTAATTGTACACGAAGGATTTAATCAGACTTATTACTAACAATGATAAATAGAGGAGAAGACGACGTGTAGTTGAAGATTAAACAAGAACAGAAGATAGTTTCATCATGTTTTCATTACGACAGCTATTTCAACTTGGCACGCGACTCAGTTTTATAAGAGAACCTGTGAATTTACATTGGTTGGCATCGATTTCACGAGAAAAGGTCGATATCAATCGTCGTGAAAGAATATTTGTTAGAATGAAAACGAATGTCTGCGAATCGTCTCAAAAAATCAACGAAGAACCTACTAAGAAGCCGCTGGGCAAGCTTGAAGGGAAACTCAAGTTAGCATTTACCTGTAAACGTTGTTCTCACAGAAATAACAATATAATATCAAAGCTGGCATATGAAAAGGGGGTGGTTATAGTACGATGTAATGGTTGCAAAAATAACCATTTAATAGCAGACCATCTTGGATGGTTCACAGAGATGAAGGCTTATAGGAACATTGAAAGACTTTTGGCAGCAAAGGGGGAGACTGTTACAAAAATACTGAATGACGTTGAAGGATATGTGGAGGTTGTTCCCAAAGAAAAATCGTATTTTTCAGAGTATATAGAAGAAGAAGGACATCTCATGGAAAAGAAAAAAAGTGAAATATGTATAGAAAAGAAAAATGATGGAAGTTCTGGGGATAAGTAGGATGGAAATTGTTTAGGCAATTTATAAATACTTCTAAATTTATTGTATACTGTTTATAATCTATATTACGTTCAACTTACAAATATATGTGTAAAAAAGCAATATCGGATATGTTTGGTCGATATCGAGACTTAAAAATTTATTTTTCATTCAGCATAATTACTAGAAAAAATAGTTTATATTTTTATAGTATGTTTATTTTTATTTTGTTTTTAATCATATAAAATGTAAACAATACTTCTAATATGTACAATTTGGTAAAAGATATATATTCTCAAAACAAAGTTTCTCAGATCTTACAAAAATTCTACAAGACTTGCCTCTTCTTGCTATGTAACTGTCTCTGAAAACAGCTTGATTTTATTATCAAGTGTAATCTCAATCAAATTTAAATGGCTGACCTCGGCACATGTTTTAAAAATTACTATATATGGCAAGTTTTAATAGACAAATTGTTCAATGTTTGTTGTGTAAATATGTATTAAGAAATGGATATGTATAATACATTTTTTATAAAACTATGTTTCATTAACAATAAAATCTGTGAAACATAGTTAAATCCTTTATAAATGTGTATATATAATACATATATATGTATATAAAATATATAGTATTGGAAACAGACGGAATGACTTATTGCTTTTCCCTTATTTTGTATATATAGACTCTGCAGTTTGAGAAATTAATGTTAAAACTTGAAAGTTAAACATCTTACAACAAAGGCGCAACTTCGATTAAAGTTACAGTACCGCAATGATAAGGGACTAATAATAGATATAATAATAATATTAAAACTTTCTAAGTACACCAGATAATGTAATAACATGCAAATTTAATTTCTAGACACTGCAACAATTTTATAAAACTTAGCTGGATTGTGCTATTAAACTATATTTTACGATATAAGGCACCTATATCTTTTTTATTGCAATCAGTCATTTTTACGTTTTTAAAAAACTAATGCTGAATTTGTTCGGAACTCATCATATCGATAAATTTAATCGTAATATTTACTGGTTAATATATTCAAAATTATTTGAATGCGTAAAATCATTTTGTTTTTAAAATAATTATTCCTATACAATTGACAATGATCAATAAGACTAGTGGTTGTTAACCTAATCTTTGCAGAAAATAAATGTCATTTCACTCCTACACGTTTATAACGAAATTATAAAATATCAGCATTTAACTTTTTCGTTCGCGAGAAAAAGGTAGGAATGAACTTATTCTAGTCATAACATAGACTAGAATTATTATTATTATTTTAAAGAACGAGAATCTCCAAATTAAATATAGTTAATATATTTACGGAGTTGAAATTTTCGAGAATTTTTTATACACATTTTGGTTTTGATACTATTGCATATTCACTATTATTATAGACTGTATGCTTTGGACCCATTGTGCTATTAGCAGGAGCAGGCTTGGAATGATTTGTTTTCTTTCTAATAACACCATATCCAAGATGGCTATCATCTGCTAATCTAACAGCAGACATATCTTCAACAATATCATAATTAGACCATGCAGTGTCAACCACGGAACTATTTAAGGAAACATTGGAATGTGAATTTTGCGACGCGCTGTTAAAGTTTCCGAATTTATACGCACTTTTTTGACTCAGCTTACTCGCTGACCCGAAGTGTTCTAATTTATCGTAATCAGATTCCTCGTTAGATTTGCAAGATATGTGATTAATCGACTCTGCCACTGAATTATCCGTAATACTAGACTTACTCTTTGTAGAGTTCTGAGATGACAAAATAGGCATCATTGTTTCATACTGGAAATCGTCCTCATTTTCTTTATCTTTGTCGCTATGTAATAAGGAAGTTGGTCTCTCCGTGTGATGTATGTTGTCTATACCGTGTGTTTTCCAAGCGTTATTTCTTACTTCTACTAGATCGTACGGGTGTCTCTCGTCGTCATCAAGTATCGAACTACCTATCGATTTCTGTGATAGATCAGGTGAATTATCTAGATTCAATGTTTTGTACTCTGCACACGTAGGTGAGTCTGATATTTCAGAATCTGTATTTTTCTTGTCTAACAAGCCCGTGAAAACATATTTTCGTGGCGGCTTTGCAGGCTTAGATTTCATGAGAGACAAAGAAGGTTTAGTAGATAAACTGGTATCTAAATTCGACGAAGAGTTCGATTGCTTTTGAGAATTTTGCGAAGATGAGAAATCAATGTCAATTAAATTGGCAGAACTATTTGGAGAAAGGGGTAACGCAGCTCTGGAACCAGCTTCCATAGCCAAGGCCGCGTGGTACTGAGCATCATTGCAATCGATACTCGGAATACCTTCTTCGTTCATTAATTTCTTCATTGATCTCATTTTCGCGTACATGCATCGAAAAATTTCCTGTTGACTGCTGTGTTCCAGACGAAAGGAACCCTCACCAGATTCACATTTTCTTCCTGCTTCAAAAATGAACTTTCCATCTTTGTAACCATATCTTCTGATGTAGCGATACGGCCACGTGAATAACACTATATCTCCGTCCATTAATTTCATATCAACCGCAGCTACTACAAGAGTATAATTCCTATTTTCCAAACCACATCGTTTAGATGCATCTGTCTCTGCAACTTTCACAGAAAACACTCCCTCCCCGCTGGTACAGTACAAATCATTATTTTCTTCTATAGTCTGGTTAGAAACACTGTCTTTAAAAGCTACTAACTGAAACGCGGTAATCCAATAACTCATATCTGATTCAGAGTAGCATCCAAAGTAATGGATCCCTGATTTTGTCACTACCTATATACGAAAATCAGAGATGAATATAAAAGTGTTAAATCGCACTCTTTGTACGCAAAGGTACTTTTTACTTACGGTAAACACGTGTGATTGGTTACTAGGTGCAATTTTGATGCACGCATCTAATGTAATGATGCGTGGACTATGCAACTGCAATACAGCCTCCTCTTGGTTGTCATAAATTTCTACGCGTTTGATCCCATAGTTGCTGGTTCTGAACAATTGGCAGAACCTTTTGTGCCATGTTTTCTATAACAGAACAACATCAGAGATTTACAACTTTGATAGTTTAATATTGGAAACATTTTATTGATGTACAGAGTGTATCGTAACATGTGGTTGTGAATCTGACAAGGCTTAGAATATTTGAAAAGTTGAAGAACTCTATAATATGGCAATTCAAGGCTTGTAGATGGGAAAGAGATGACACAAAAATGATACTAAGACTAAATAGAGTACATGTATATATATATGTTTTCCATTGCTTTAGTGTTTCCAATACAGTGTAGAAGTGAGTATCACATCTCATACGATACACTCAGTGTCGATCAAAGTTTGATCAAACATTTCAGGGTCATGTGTCTCATAAACTTCAAAGCATCGACGTGAATCAAGAGTGACGTGTGTCACGGTCGAGCTAGTTAGTACACACTAGAAATGTCTGCAGCTTTGTAGGTTATTCCTCGAGGACGATTACGGATAAATAAACAGTTGGATCTTTCCACGATCCTGTCAACCAAGACAATAAGAAAAGGAGAGACCACGAAAGGTAAACGTTCGTCGATGGATCGCGAAAACGTAGAATCGTAGTTCCTGTTGTTAACCAACCTTCAGTTGGCCTAGCATGCCCTGCGGTGGTAACAGGAGAATTCCTTGCAACAGAGGTTCCTCGGGCTCCATAGTATCCGCGGAACATCAGCAACCTCCTCGTGTTTGCACTAGGTGCGCGCCTTTATCCCCCCGTGTAATTTCGAAAAACGGAATTTTTCCACTTTCACTCCCACTTTTTTTTCAGCGCGTTCTATTCCTCTCACTGGCTCGCCTTTGGTGGTCTTCGCTTTCAGCTGGATCGTTGACGACGTTTCTGACAGTTTTCACGAACACGTTCAGCCCATCGCAACGTGCGGTGCTTGACATTGCACGAAAGGTTTGGAGCCCGACGTCAACGTCGACCAGATTTCCGGGAGAAAAATCGTCCGTCTCCGTGTGTGCGTGTCGCGCGCGAGGCGTACGTGCACGAGACGTATGGTCGCTGCATGGGCTCCTCGACTAGCGATGGGATCAAATACCTTGCAAGTAGCTTCCTAGGGATGGAATTAAGTGCAATAAGTTCTAACAGTCGGTATTTGCATTGCGAACTTGGATTTTAATTATTAGAATTAAAGAAAATAAATTGAACTTTTATTATACTTATTTATTAAAGTGAAAAAAGGAAGAAATAAAATGTATAATAATTATGTGAAAGAAAGAAATGTAAGACATTGGGAAACACGCATGTTGCTATCATTAGCAGATGCACACACTCTAATGTTAGTTGCAGAGGAAAAAAAAGACAGCATAAACCAAAGCAGTTAAACACATAAATACAAAAGTAATGAAGTAAACATAATACAAAGATATTTTAACAGTACTCGTAAGAAATAATATTTTCGGAGAATTCGAGAATGTTTTCAGGAGAATAGTCGTGCCTCGATATAAGGACGGACTTGTCCCTCGATATAACGCAGCGAATCAGCCACCACCACTATTTGTTTTTAAATATTGCGAGCCAATCGTTGACCGGCTGGTGGTCAAATAAATAAGAATCGGTTGGCGTTATAGTAACTAAAATTAATACTGATATATTTTTCAATATATTTTTGGGAGAGTGTCATGGATGGATTGGTGAGGTCTCGGTGATGAAAACGAGTCCAAACATGGCCCTGTTTGGAGTACTTTTAATTATATATTAAAAAAATTGCCGAGGGTTTATAAATAATTGCTTATATTTAAAAGTAAATTGAACGGGTTCGTGTTTGGACTCATTTCCATCGGGAACACCTCACGAATCTATCATTGATCATTTTCGTTAGGATATCATGAAAAAGATAATAACTGTAATTGTTACTGGAAACGTTATATCGAGGGGTTGCACTTTCATGTTTGAGAGAATCATGTAATATTGCTCCAATGTTGCAGGAATATTACAATATCGCATTAAACCTTGTACAACATAGCAAAATACTGCTTTTACTTATAAGATAGAGAATTCGAAGAGGTTGAAACTTCTGGATTCGAGTACTATCTGCAATAAATTTAATTCTTTCAACTATCGAAGTACTCGTGTGTACATTTTCGAACGCTACAGGCACTTGAATGCTCTGCGAATTCAAATGTTCGAAGCATTATACCTTGGATATTGGGATTGACTCGGATTCGTGAGTGCACATTGCACTTGATACCATCCCTATCCCTGACACATTGGAACTGACGGAGCAATAAGAGGCACGCACGTCCTACGTTCACCGCGATGTCGGCCGAATTGTCACGAACGGATGTAGGAGCGCGACTATTCCCTCGAGATAACTCCGCCTGGCTTTTGTTATTTCAACTCGTCAGTCATCAACAATGTTTGTCTCGAATTTGTTATCGTTCGTTGTTACGCCGAGCTCTTTCGCTTGGTTCGCTATGGAATTCCATGCGCGGTTGGGCACGAAGACAATGGCGATTTAAATTCTGCTCGTCAATTTCCTTTGATCTACGAGACCGTCGATCATTTTGAACATAAAAATGTGCTTGGAGTTTAATAAATCGAATTGAGTTGGGGCACTGCGTTGTATCTGTGAGTGTTAATATTTATTGACCTACTTCTAGCGATAAAAATCATTTAAATGAGAATTAAGTTACGCGAAATTAACACCGGTTACAAGACAACGAGGTTGCCACTTTTTATTTTAAATTTGGAGCCGTGTAAACAAAAGATTGAAGTGGTTCATCATTAAGTCCACCACTTTCTTTTTTTTTTTTCAATGTAAGACTGTCCTGTACTGTTTCGAGGATTACCACAATTTTTCGGATACGATAAACCATGATAACTAATTCTTGTTTTGCTTACATTTGGATGTAGTATTAACTCGATGAGATTGGCGTGACCTTGGGTTTGGTACTACTAGTTTTATTCTTAATAATAATATTCGGTATTAAAATGTGCGACGAAGAATAAAATCGCAGAGCATTGACTCATTTTTCCTATTGGCGACAACAACGCGTAGGTTGCAATAATGCACCGCCGTCGTTTGCTTTATCTCTGATTCCACTACACGGAAGTGGTGTACCGCTGCGTTCCACCGATATGAAACAATATAATTGTCTGGCGCGTTGACAGGCACGCGTAGACAGTCTAATAGCACTAACCGACGATGTCTCCTATGTACAGCTATCAGGGACGGACTTAGAAGGCCTTCGTGAATTACTCAACCTTCTTCACGCTTTTTTTTACAGCTAACTAAACTAGGTCTAAAATTTGATTGTGACTAAATAAATTCAGTAAAGATTAATTGCTCTTATCTAAGCAATCAAGCTTTACATTATAAAATGGTAGAGTTCTCCATTTTTCAGTAAGAATTGATTCTATATACAATCAACACTTTCTATGCACTTATACAGGACGTCAAGCTCTAAGAAATGATTGAATTTTATTGGGTTGTCCGGAAAGTCCATGTCGATTTTTGGTAGGTGGTACAGGTCTGAATATATCGAAGTGGTTGAAAACAAATAACATGTATGCATCCCTTAAAAAGTGGAAAGGGCGTGGAACAAAATGGCACTTATGTAATTCAATAAATATATATTGAAAGTCAAACCTGTTTTTGAATTTTTCTTAGAAATTGGCATGAACTTTCTGGATAACCTAATACAAAGAGACAAAGTCATATAACTTAACTAAAACACCTAACGTACTAATCTAACACATGATCATACTTTACATTCATTTAATTCCTGCTTTATTTTACTTTGCATTTGTTTACATATTTCTTTTTATAATTCTCCTATTAAGGATGCCAATCAAAGCTACAGCTCCTGAGAATCTTCATGGAATAGCATTGACCCACATTATAAACACGTTACCCCAATCATTTCTGTTTCTTTAACAGAATTACTGGTAAAAATTGCTGAAGTTGGGGGCGGATGGTGGAACAGTGTGCAGCGTAGCCCGGGTTCGAATCCCGGTCGTCTGTCTCAGTATTTCAAGGCATGGCTAAGAAAAAAATGTATGGAAAGTCTGTTCAAGAAATAAGAAAAATGTAAAACTAACCAAAGAATATATAACAGAATGCCACAAAATAGGAAGGATAAAGAAGTAAAAAGTAAGTTCAATTTTTCTTAAAGCAATGGTTTATGCGAAATAAGATCACGCAAACGTGCCTACAAAAATTGAAGGACTGTGGCTTATTTTAATGTAAGAAAACATGTAATATTATAAATATAAAAAGATACATATATGTAACGGAAAATATGAGTGCAATATGTGAATACACATGCACTTAAAAAATAACCAACTGCTGAAATTTATTTGAAAATTAAATAACCTCTCTGCCTCGATGGCAAGCTCCTCTCACGAGTGGCCTTATCATCGAATCCGTGTTCCCTGTGGCGGGATTGGGCTGCGTTCGGTTGTATACGTTGCTGTTGTATGTAATTTCGCAATCAGCTTGCAGCCACACGCAACTAGATCAAACTATGTCCTACTCCAATTCCACGGGGATATTCGATCGTTTCGCGTTAAGTTATTGAAGAATTGACCTTTCCTGTGATTCGCGGTGCATCGGGTTTACATTAGCTCCGATCGGGGCACACTAGCCGCGCGTTTGTATTCTGAGGAGGTTGTAATAACGAATCGGCCAAACTAATGAAGTGATACATTATTCACGGTTGTCCTCGGCTATATATCGCCGGAACGATACAGCTTGCGCGTCAATTCGCCCGATAGAAATGATATCGGTTTTGTTCCTACTCTTGACCGTCAACTATGGCCACAGCTTCAACGATTTTCCATCCTTGATTGCCGCGAACGCCACGATGGGTACGAGAGCATTTATTCTGGAAAGACTTTACGAGCTATTTAATAACAAAGTTAAACGATAAAGTTAAAATATCAGTGTGAACCCGTGGCTTATTATACAAGCGATTGCTATTCGATTCTCGTTGAACTAACTAATTTGTTTTCATTTTTCACGTGAGCGATAGTGTCAGTGGTGGCTATAGAAAGATGTGAACTGTGACTTGTTGGGTAGATTCTGGTAGAATTTTTTTTTTTTTAAGTTAGTAGCTTTGATGTCGGAGTCAAACGAATAGGATTTTTCTGAACAGCGGTGATGGTCGACAAGAATTTCTTCGACAACAAGGAGGAGCACAGAAACGCTGTGGAGTCCGTCCTCGAGTTGATCACGGACACCGTGAGGACGGAGATGCACCTAGGTGGTATCGCGGTTCGTATTTTCCGCGACGTGGACGTCGATCTGCGACAAGGTAAGCGAACACGAGCCCCGATCGATCGATAGCATGATTAATCGCCACGGTGGTATCATGATCTCGATGCTTGCGTTAAGATTACACGATACTTCTATCCATCACGACGTGCTACCGAACCTGGCGCCTGCACGAGACTGCTCGAAAGAAGGATATTATACATTTCGCCATAACAGGTATGTGGACGAAGGATTCATTTGATTCTAGATCCAGATTGTTCCCAAATTTCGTATTTGAAAGCGCAGGGAAAGTATACATGGTATTAACTAAAATACAAGATCTTTTCTACAAATCAGTATTCAGGATCGATTCCTCGTGAAAAGAGGAACCGAAAAGTCCTTTACCATTTTGCAATCGGAAGTTTCGTTATTTAGATACGAGCATTTAAAGTTTAAAGCGCACCATTTTGTATTCTAGTCAGCTGATCGCGCATGCGCGCACCCACACGGAGACCGCGTGTCTATGGGTTCGCACGCGCAAAGACTTTAATTACTCGTGTCTCGATAACGAAGCCTTGGACTGCAAAGTCGTAAAGGACTTTTCGATTTCTTTTCTCATAAAGAATTAACCCTTTGCCCTCGAGAGGTGACTCTCGGTCACCACCAGGTTTGACGCAGTGAATCAACCAACAATTATGTTTGTTTAGATTTTTTTAGAATTCGAAGTTTCATAAATAAATTGATTGTCGGTGAAGTAAAGGTGACCTGATTCTCAAATCTCAAATTAGTTCGCGATCACAAATCCTGATTGAAAATGCACTCGTTTCAAGATCCAGACTGTCCCCGAATTCCGGACGTCGACGGCATAAGCGTTCCCATGATAGTACCTGGCGAGGAACTGTCCCAGATCTTTCTCGACCTGAGGATGATGAACATCCTGTCCTGGAATGTGATCAACATCCTCCACGACGACACTTTTGGTGAGGAAATTCTATTGGTAGCGATATTGAAGTTTCTTAACGCTTTCGCTGCGGACGAAAATAAGTAGCTGTTCGTTGGGAGCTGCAATTATGATACATTTTTAAATAAAACATTTCTTGTGTAGAAATCTAATGACTATAAAACGTATTACAGTTTGACAACGAATTATTTATTGTCTGACTTTTACAACTGTCTCGACCGAACTGAACTCCGAATTATTATATTATAAATAACAAATCGCACCGCGTTCTCACGTAACCATTGCATACACGGATACACTCAGACACTTACCCTCATATTATATATCACACTTTTACACTTGCAAATGTTCTAATATGATTATTTTGAAAAACATATATTTGTGGCAACTTATTTTATATATAATATGATTGTCGAACAAAAAAAAAAGAAAATGAAAACTGAAAAATAATAAAAACAACCATATATTTTCAGTTGGACGCACACGTGCGTCATCCGCTCTTACCCTAAGATTCAGTTTAGCATCGCCAGGTGTTTAATGTAGAGGCCTGTTTCAGATAGGGACACGATCACCAGGGTGATGAAGGCCATATCGGACAAGCTGCCCAACGAACGATCAAGTCTGATCTCCAGGTCGATCTTCACCCTGAAACACGACGTCACGGAGAGGGAGAGGATAAGCTCCGTGAAGAAGGTGTTGGATGATTTCCACGTGGAGCAGCTGGGACGCTGCTTCCTGGTGATCGCCACTTTTGATATAGTCGCCGATGTTATGGAAGTGGTGAGGATTTTGTTTATTTGGAGACTGAAAAGAGGTGAAAGAAACGTTAAGAAACATGGATTCGAAAAGAAACATTAGCTCGATATAAAAATTTCTGGTTTTCGATCACTCGTTCCAACGATCGCTAGTTGCGTAACGTTTCTAGGAATCTATGGAAACCATAGTCATTTCAAAGTTTCAAGTCTCTTTACCAATCACCTCGGATAATTTCCTCTCCTCTTTTTTTTTATTTTTATTAGACATTCGAAGACAGATCCCGCAAATTGCTTTTTAACGATTCGCGTGAACTTGAAACCATAATCGAGGTGTTACGGCGCAGTACTCGATTACCGTGAACGGTGGGTTCAATTACGAAACTTTCTTTGTTCTCTTTTTTGCGCCTCGAAGGCGAGGTCCTTGAAGATGGTGCATCCCGGTAGCCAGTGGTTGTACGTCATCACCGACAGCGCCGAGCAGAACGCCACCAACATGACGACCTTCGTTGATCTATTAGCGGAAGGTGGAAACGTGGCTTTCATGTACAACGCGACTGAATTCGGCGACTTCTGCGAAGTAATGATCGATATTCTTATTTTATTAAAAAATTCGTCTTAGAAAATGTTCTAATACCTGTATTAAAAACAGTAAGTATAAAGTACTGTATAATAACAGGGTTAAAACTTACTGAGAACTCTTTGTAATTCTACTTCCATGCCAAGAGGTTGAAACTAATTGTAATCTTTTCTAATCTACTATCCGAAGTGCTTAGATGTAACAATGTATTTCTTGCACAAGGCATTGTGTTTTTGAAACGATTCATTCAACTATTGCATTAAAAGAACAATATACATTGTAAATTTTAAAACTGCTATTGGAAATGTGTGATTTTAAGAAAATTAGTCAATATAATGTAATATAAAGGAAATAGAAATTATTTCGTACTTTTAAGCATATTATATCTAGAACTGGTGAGTATTCATATAAATTAACTAGAAATTATGCAATCAACACTCGAGTGCAAAGGGTTAAGTCTCAACGCAAGATCAGCCTCAGAGTTTGATCAAACAATCGCCCAAGAATTTGCGATTTACATGCGACAAGTAATTGTTGTAAGACTTTGGGTTCCACCAGGCCAAGTTCACATGTTTCGTCGCGAAGCTGGTCAAAGCGCTGTCCAGAACCTTGGACTACTCCCTGATGAACGAGATCGAGCTGCGAAATAGGGCAGGCTTGGAGGACTTCGAGATCATCAAGCTGACAAAAGCGGAGAGGAAGCGCGAGATACTGAAGAATATCAAGGTCAATGATCCGAACACAGTCTGTAGATGAAGTTTAGGGGATTCGAGGAGAAGTAAAATCGAAACTCCGTTTAGATACACCTCAGCCAAAACTTGCCAGATCCTAAGGATGGCTGCAGGATGTGTTTGCTGTGGAGGTTCTCCTCCTCCATCACTTGGGGCAATTTCTTTCCTCGCGAGAAAAATATCGCTCATCTTCTGGACGTTGGGACGTGGTCGCCTAAATTTGGAGTCGACTTGACGGACGCTCTCTTCCCTCATATCGATCACGGTTTCAGGGGCATCGCTATACCGATCACGACGTACCACGTGGGTAAACGTTTGTCAGCTGAAATGAGAAAATTCCAAAGATAGTATACTCCGATTATATAGATTAGTTAGATCTTAGAATTTATTTTATTATTTTAGAATCCACCGTGGCAGATAATCTCCGTGAGCAGCACGGGTAAAGCGACGTACGACGGACTGATCTTCGACGTGGTCAACTACCTGAGCAAGAAGTTGAACTTCACGTTTAACGTGATTGTCCCGGAAATGGACAAGATAGCGAAGTCCTGGAACGATTCCCGGTTCGCCAAGCTCGGAGACGTAAGACGCATACATATTCACGTTCTACAATTCTACAATTCGTGTAGAATAATTAAGCGATTAATAAAAACAAACCCGAATACAAGCGAAAAATGAAGAATTTCATAGGTTGTTCCAATAAATTGTTTCTGATGTTTGATAATCTCGTAAAAATAAAGAACTAAGTTTACAATTCACATCACGTCCAAATATCCGACTAGTTGGTAATTCTAATGATATTTGAATAATATTCGAACGAGTGATTCGGTGAATGAATCGCAGAAATGAATTAATTTTTCCGTGCAGAGAGTCAACGAAATGACGATGTCGAGCACGAGGAAGGTACCGCGGGAAGTGATCGACTATGTTCGCGACAAGAAGGTCCTGATGGCCGCCTGCGCGTACACCGTGAACGAATATGGGAAGAGCGCAATCAATTTTACGGTACCCATTTTCCTGCAAACGTATAGCTTTTTAACTTCCAGGCCCGAGCAGCTGTCGAGGGCGCTTCTGTTCGCCTCGCCGTTCACCAAAGAGGTTTGTAAACATACCTCAGTTGACACAGCTTTGCCCAAAGCGTCATTTTTCGCTCACGAATTTTCCATCTTGCGATAAAAAATTATTTACAGACGTGATCGTCGATACTTTATTTGGAAATTAAAAATAAGGTTAATATTCTTGTGTATTCTATAATAAATCATAGATTCTAGAATCGATGCCACGACCAAACAGAATATTAATTAACATACTGCGGATCTTTATGCAAAATAAAATCTTTGTAAACGAACTCCGCAAATATTATAACGTGATCTTTAATTTCAATATTTTTCGTATCAATGCATCCTGTGTGCGTTTTGTACTTTTACATATTTAAATTTTTTATAAACGCATAAAAGTCCACAGTCTATTAATTAAATTGCCACTGGAAATTATTTCACCTAAAGGTGATTTTGTTTGAATTCATTTTGCCACGTTTGCAGTCCAAACGCGAAGGACCTTCCACAGTCGCAACATTAAAGAGACTCGTCGATCTATTTAATTTCACTTGTCATCGAGCCGCGTAAAACGACGGGAACTAAACGACGCCGTTACGCAAAAGCTGTTCAGAGATATTTCGTCCAGGCTCTTAGCGTTTCGCTAACGTCCCGACATTCCGACGCCGTAATAGCGCGCAATGACAGGATTATAAAGATTGTCGTCGTTTAGTTCGGTATTTTATGCGCTCGAATGCCTCCTAACGCGTCCTCTGGCTTTTAGACGTGGGCCTGTCTGGCCGTAGCCATTATCATAATGGGTCCGATCCTGTACATGATCCACAAGTACAGTCCCTACAGCACGAAGACCTCGGGCCTGAACTCGTCCTGGCAGTGCGTGTGGTACGTGTACGGGGCGCTTCTTCAACAAGGTATCATTTTATTGTCTCTTAAGGGGATATGTACAGTTCACGGTGCATTTTCTGCGAATTTTATATGGCTGGAAGGTTTTTTTCTATATCAAAAGTTTTATTCTCGAAAACGTAAGGAAAAGCTCCAGAGTTTGTCGATGGCCAGGTCAATGCAATTCCTTTGATGGTTCTGGTTGTTTTTGGGAAATTTTCCCAAGGGAATATGTCTATCGATAAATAGAAGATGAATGGTTTAATTGACACTGTAATATTAGTTGTAGAAAGGATAGGAATGATACTAGTGAGATGATATATCACCATAGGTGAGATGATAGTAGTAGGAGCAGGAGATCTAGAGGTTGTCATTGGTGTCGCGGTTCCTGTTAAGAGGGTGTCCCATATTTTTCTAGGACCCGTTTGTAAGGGTTAACAAAGTTGTATAAAAGCCACAACATAAACCGAATTGAGTACAACAGTTTATCACTTAACTCTTTAGTCTATAACAACGCGTGTGAGACACGTGATAAGGAATAATTCGAGTCTAACACGAAAAGCACGAGTCAAACACGTCGTGTATGAATGTGCACAAGAGAATACCTAAGTAACTATGGCACGCGTGGTTTGAGAGAGTAAATCGTAGGTCAAGGGTGTTAAATGAGCAAAAATTACTCACAAAGTTATTATCGACAACAAATAATGGGGTTGCAAATATGAAGTAACAATAACATCGAAAGTAACAAATATAAACAAGGAAAGCTTTAGGTTCAACAAACATGCTGGGAATGATTTACATCGAGTATCAAAAATTCCAGGAGGGATGTATTTACCGCAGTCGGATAGCGCGCGTCTCCTGATCGGCGTGTGGTGGTTGATCGTGATGGTTCTGGTGGCCACTTACTCCGGAAGTTTGGTCGCCTTTCTGACGTTCCCAAGGATGGACGCGTCCATTCTGACCGTGGAGGACCTCATAGAGCGAAAGGATAGGTTGACCTGGAGTTTCCCCAACGGCAGCTTTCTTGAGGTGTACCTGAGAAACGCGGACGAGCCGAAGTATCATATTCTCTTGTCTCACGCGCAAAAGCACAACGACACGGAGGAAGAGGAATTAATAGAGCGCGTGAAGGAAGGCAAACACGTCCTGATCGACTGGAGGAGTTCCCTCAGGTACGTTCGAGAATCGATGATTAATCGATGATGACTGGTTCGTGGTCTCGAGGATGATCGGAGAAACGAAATTAACGGTTTCGAATATTAACTGGTGGGAATAGGTTCTTGATGAGAAAACACTTGCTACTGACCGGAGGTTGCCACTTTTCCATGAGCACGGACGAGTTCTTGGACGAGCCCATAGCCATGATCATCCCGCAGGGGAGCCCCTATTTGCCAGTAATCGATGCAGAGTAAGTTGCGCGACGATTCCTGGAATAGGAGAATATTTACGTAACGAAAGTTGTCTATCGTTGCTTCTCTTGCTTGACACGTTGACTGCCAGACTAATACTCTTGAAAATTTCTACTGTGATTAAGTATACTTTCCAGGCTATTGGAAACTACATAATCAAACATTTATGTATCGTTTATTTTTATAACTTCATCGAAGTTCAAGAGTTTCATTCGAATTTATTGTTTCTGGTACTTGACATTCAGAATTAATTTTGTTTGTTCTTCAGTGAAAAGCACCGTCGCTTATATATGGCGATCAACGTGTTAAGTAAGTAGCAGATGGTACGTTGTTTAAACGAGTACGTTTATTGGACGCAGAACGCAACATATTTTAATTTATGGAACAGATTGCATCGAATGCACGAGTCGGGTTTGATGCACAAATGGATCACCGAGAGGATGCCAATGAAGGACAAGTGCTGGGAAGCGTTAGGCAGCAGCCAGACGGTGATTAAACGAAAAGTGAACGTGGCTGACATGCAGGGGATATTCTTCGTACTCTTTATGGGTAAGATTATTTGTTTCTCACGATTTTCCAATCATATTTGAATTGTTAACTATATTCTGTTAATTGTATTCTGTCTCAGGCGCGACGTTGGCCTTGTTCCTTCTACTCTGCGAGTTCTATTGTCACAGACGCAAGATAAACAAGGAACGCAAGCTGATTCGTCCGTTTGTTTCCTAAAATCATCTTCAAGGACCCGTATCAGGTCAAATCGATCATTTTTGTAGCCTTAAAAACGGAGATTTTGATGGTATGAAGATATCATGGGGAAACTATGACTTAAATCTCTTTCGATTTCGAATGGCCTATCATATATTTTAATATCATCAATATTCCTGTTATGGAAGTGCAAAAGTGACTAATTTGACGTAAAATGGTTCGTACAGTCCTGCAAATTGTTTTCGCTGCTCTCGCCAACTTCCCGCTATCCAAACAGCGGTTTCCTCGCGATAAACGGAGCCAGCGCCTCATTATGCGGCCAGTCGCATTTCTTCGGTCCATCTCGCGCGAATTGCCCGTTCCCTTTTTCCTTTTGCAATTAGCGTCTCTTTCTGTGGTCAGGACTGGCAAACAAGACCGCTCTTGCTCAAATCTTGTTAATATCTTTTGCCCGACGCTCTGCCCTGCGACCTGGTCCTTTTCCATCCTCCAAAGAAAAATTAAAATTAAAAAAGAACTATTTTAGTTTAATATAAAGTGTATTATTATTTCTTTTATTTAAGAACGGAAATTACTAATGCGACGTCACGTTAGCTCTTTGCACTCGAGAAGTGACTCTCAGTCGCTATTAGCAAATTTATCAGCAATAATGCTTCTTTAGGTTTAATTTCTTTGGAACTCAAAGTGTCAATAAAATGATTATCGACGAGGTAAAGGTGACCTTATTCTCAAATCTAGATAGCTTAGCATTCGTGGCAATAGAATGCTAAGAAAGCATCTTGGGTTGCTGGTAGATACGAGAAAAAAAGGCCTCGAGTGCAAAGGGTTAACACGTGACCGCCATTTGTGGGCGACGGTGCTCTTTCCTAAGGAACTAAGTTTATTCATTCTTAAGGCAAGCTATGGAAGAAAATAAATCCAAGTGGAATTCGTGAATGCGATTTGGTTAGACCAGTAAGTAGATCATGTGGTTTTCGATTGTTTCGAAACAAAATTTTGAACTTTGTAAAGATTTTCACGAGTGGTGGTCAACGCGTTCGAGTTAGTTCCAGAAAAATAGGAATTGTAAACGGATATTAAACCAGATGTAATCGATAGGTATCGATAAAACTGTCGAGCGTCCCAACGTCTGACGTCATGTATCGATAGTATCTGAGCACGTCTCGGTCCCAACGCTAGCCTACGGACATCCGAGAGAGGTATGACAATTACCATCACGAACGTCTAATTTGTGGGTAATGGACGGCACCGGATATTGCGCGGATATCCACGCAACGTCCGACAGCGACAGTGCTTCAACGTTTTTCACGATGGACGCCTGCTGGCGTGTCCGTGACGTCGATTTATTCGCACCTGAATAGCGAGCGTGACTCTCCGAATCGCCGTGTTCGAGTCCTTATTATCGTAATAAGTCGCAATTCTACTCGGAGAAAAGTATACGAGAAAGCGTAAGGCAAAATGAGTTCGAAAATATTCGTGGAATTATGATAGAATTATGCGTGGAATCAAATCAAGCAAATATGTTCGATGTAAACATTAATTACGGAGGGATTAAAAAATAATTATGTCTTAAAACTCTCTAGTCAGATCGATGAAATTTTGTTTGAGTGGAGATGTGAGTAGTATAAATAAAAATCCGAGTTATTCAGCGAATCTATATTTTGAGATATAAAGTTTCGAGTTCCGAAAATGTAGAAAAGAAATTGTTTCCAAGTTACTTTTTAAAGGTTTCTTTCACCTGGATAATGAGTCTTGAGGTGAGAAGCCTCGTCTTCCTTCATTGTTCCTTTTTAGGGGAGCCCAAACTTGGTGTTTATTAACGAACGATAAATTAACGATTGTCTTAGGAGGAGAAAATAGGCGTTCATTGTTAAACGCTGATTCTTGATGCGTTTGGCAACGATCTGTGGAAGAATCTCGCGGTAAAAGTCACGGTGTTACATAACGAATCAAGCCACTGGGATTCTCCCGCCTGCATTAGTTGAAACCAGGTCCTCGCGTAGCTCTTTGCCATGATGAATGGGAGAATAATCGAGGCACTGGTATTCTATATATTCTGTAACAGAAATTACGCCCTCAAGATTTTAATACCGTAATCAATTCTGTCAAAAATTTCAGGTCTACAAACTGATATGTAAACATTTATATGTACAAAGACAAATTCAAAAACTAAAAAATTAATAAAATATTATCCTCGATTATTCATGAGAATATTATATGAATATAATTTTTTCCTTACTACTTACTTAACTATTATAGTACGTAATAGTTGAAAACATTGAGCTAACTAATCGTGGTGTTAAAATTGAAATAACAAGATCTCTATAATAGACTAATGAATCCGTTTTTGCATTGGTTCCACGATTATTAGGAGCTGTCACTTTCCTTGACACATTGGCTCACGTTTGGTATGATCGTCCATAGTAATTGCTGCGAGTTAATTTCGGTCCTTACTCGAATCCTCGTTACAATGAAAGAGGAGCTACTACGAGCGTTGAGCAAGACTTATGACGCGTATGATTTCGCCGGCGCATGTTACGTTACGGTGGAAGTTGCCACAACCAGTTACTTTATTAAGATCAGAGTATAGAAGAAGAATGGGCATTGCAAGTGTGCGAACACCGGAGAGCCTAGAAAGGTCGGATTCCGTGTTGCACCTCGAGGATAAAAACACAGACATAGAACTCAGATTCTACATGAAAATTCACCTAGATCCTAAATATTTAATTAAAAATTTCACACGGCAACATATCCTCACCATACAAGTTCAATTATGACCCAAAAATCAATTTTATTCCTATAAACTTATTTATAGGTTTTTACCTATTACCTAAACATTTACATGGGACAAAAAATTCATCCTTATATACACTCAACATAAAAATTCAATTATGATCCAGAAATCAATTCTATGCCTATAAACTGATTTGTAGATTGAAAATTAACATTCGTTTCAAAAATTCACCTACCAAAAATTCACCTTTAAAAATTCAATGATGACACAAAAGCTTCGTTCTTACATACCCTCGAAATAAAAATTCAATTATGATCAAAAAATGAATCTTAAGGCTATACATTGATCTATTAATTAAAAATTAACCTTCATTTAAAAAATCTACCTATTAAAAATTCACCTGTAAAAATTCAATCGCGACACAAAAAGCTGCCTCAACCCTACAAATTGGCATCCAACTAAAAAATTCACCTTCATCCGAAAAATTCAACCTTAAAAAATGAATGTCCACCTGGAGAATTCCTCTTCCTCCCCGAAAACGTGATTTCTTGTTTCCCCTTTCGGAGAGCATCGCTTGCACGCGTCGAATCCGCCGCAGGATCCACTGAATAATTCATCCGCTGGAACCTCCTTCTCCATCCGAGCTTCCCGTTCTCCAGGGAACCTGTAACCCTAGCGCTTCACCGTGGGTGGAAGGGGAAGGGCGAGAGCGCGATATGACGGCGTACATAGACACGGGTTTATCTACCTGACGACCTTGCCGTTTAAAAAATCCAAGAGTGGCTGGCAGGGCCTCGAGCGGGCGGCGTGCACCATCCACGAGCCAGTTCAGACGCGGACCGCGGACGACTAGGACTAATAATCCTAATAGAGGCGTTCTCCCCGCGACACGGAAAACGCACCGCGGCGCGTCTCTGGTATCCACCAGGTGAATCGAAACCAGTTGACGCGTGTGTTCTATGCGCGTGGATCGCGCTGCATCCTCCGCCAGTGATCGACCAACGCTTTAACATGGGAACTGCGGTACCCTGGCTGATCCTGCTGCAGCGTACGTATCCTGTTCCTTGGAATGGCTTTCCTCCATCGTTACGGCACACTCGGGACCTGGAGAGATTGCGCTCCCGGATGGAATTCGTATTTAGTGATCAGAATTTTTGGAAGAGCTTGTATCGCGGCGTTGGACTTTGTATAAATTCATTTTACCAACAGCGTCGCTAGAAGAGTGTTTTGTGAATTTTATAATTTGGAAATGTGTGTGTGTTTTTTTTTAGACGCGGAGTTCTAGTAAAGATCAATTTTTCTGACACTTTTTGTGCCTGTAAGATTCAATCTGTACTAGCGTAGACATCAAGTCTACGATAATCATGTTTTAATAATCTCTCTAATAATATTAGCTAGAAGATACAAGTTTTACCATTTAGAGTCCCAATTAATTCAGACCTAACCCAAAAGACTCGATCACTTGAAAATTCTATCATTCTACCTATCCATTTTTAAATAAATTCCTCCCGTATTTATTCTCCGTCGATGGTCTGAATTTACTTGGTAACGTGACTATTTCCACGTCGAAATTCCCGAGCAGTGTCGTCTGCGCTCGTCCACGGCTACGACACCGCGGAATTCGACGGCTGGTATCAACCGGTTCCCCATCGACCAGTCGACATCATCACGGACGTTATTAACGACCTAGGCGTGCGGATTCTGCAGCAGTACACTGGCCACGGGAACGTCGCATTCTCGCCGACAGGGGTTGGCTTCGTCCTGGCGGCGTTGTACGAGGGCTCAGCTGGCAGAGGAAGACAGCAGATCGCCGATGCTCTGGGTCTACCACGGGATAAGGACATCACCAGGCTGGGATTTCGGGACATCCATCGCAGGCTGCGGGTGAGACACTTGCGAGGAGAATACATCCAAGTTGGACGTTATTCGAATTACAATCAGTCGTTTAAGGACCTCTATGTCTATCGAAGAAATTTGTCTAAATTAAACGATAGGCTTGACGTAAGTTCTTGTAAGTTTTTCATTATAAATATATACATGAATAAAGTTTGCATATAATTGTAATGAAAGATTTATTTGGAAACGCCAAACCTGTTATTTAATTTATATGTGTCTTCGATAGACATAGAGGGTACGAATATTTATGGAACTGACTGTAATTTGTATTTCGAGGAGTTTCATGGGAACGAGTTTTATTTAAACGAATTTTTCAGTGGAGTCTATTTTTATTCGAATGGATTTTTATTCCAGTCAATCTTTATTAGAATTAGTCCCGGATAAAAGTAAAACTTAGTTCTGCATCCACACTGGATACCGAGAACTCTGAATAAATATTCGAATCAGGTTTATTCCAATACGATTCGATATATTATTCGAAACGAAATTTGTAACATTCAAGCAATGGAAAAACAGAAATATGAAAAATGTAGAGCCACAGATTTCAACAGACAATCATATAAGGCCTTAAACCAATCGAAAATGATCACCTCCTAAACACCTAAACTAAAGAATTTAACTAAACTCGAGAGAATTATTCACAACGTCCCCTTCGGTTACGTAACTGTTACGTAATACCATGCAGTAATTAGACCGCTGGTTAATTTTAAGCTTCAACGAACCCGAATTTCTCTTTCCTAAGTGTCGATTTCTCTTTCGCTCGATCGCTTTTCTAAAACGGCTCGTGCGATCATTGACGCTGACGATCACGCGGAATTCAATGGGATCATTTTCTTGTTCCAAGACTTATCTGAACGCGGATGGCTTCCTCGGCGGTCTGACTCTGAATCAAGAGAACACGAGACTGCGTCCAGAATACGAGGACATCTTGAGATTCTATGGGTTCGACCTGTCCGTCCCTGAGGACGAGGCTAACGAGACCACGACCGTACCTGAGACGACCATGACGGACCAACCAGCGACAGAGACCACACCAGTCCAGGATGAAACTACTATATTGGCTACTGAATCTACTCAAGAGAGTACCAGTGAACCTATGACGTCGACTACCCCAGCTGCAGAGCTGATAGGGAGGACGATGAACACAGCAGACGTCCAGGACAGACTGACCCAGCAGACAACCTCTGCTACCACAATTCTAACGGACTCGACCACACCTGCTACTCTAGCTAGCCAACCCACGACTGTGTCCCTAGAAACATCCCCCATGACACCTGAAACCCCTACAGTCACACCTTCCGACGCAGCCACGACTACTGCGGCCACTGTTCAACCCACGATTCAAAGTCCAAGTACGACAGAGCCTGCTCAATCTACCCTGATGAGCACTACCTTGGCCACCACTCCAGGAACACCCGTCGAGACCACTGTCACCACAACTGTACCAGACTCGATGACCACAACGATGACCATGCCAACAACTGTATCGACGACTATCACCACCATGATGCCTATGGATGCAACAATGCCTGCTGATAGCGGAATGGTCCCAAGTTCGTCGAACCAAAGGCTGACTCAGGCAAATCAGACGATGGGTGGCTCGACGAGCGGACCAGCTGCGGATGAGAATACCGTTTTAACGGGCACCATTAACAATCAGACGGCCTCGAGCGAGATGGGATCTACCGATACGCCAGGGACGACTGCTGTTACAGGTGAAACGGGGTCGAATGGACAACCCGCCACTGCTTCCTCGACTGTCAGCGCGAGGAGGAGGAAGCGTGGCGCGAGGAGCCCCAGGGGATTCTTCTCCAGCTATCCAGGTGTGGAACGTGACTCTTATGGTCCTTTTCTTTTGGTAGAGATCTGTAGGATTGGTAGGATTCATGCTTGGGTTGATGCTTGGTCTAGGAATGTTTGAATACTGGAGTTGATGAACGATGAAGTTGGACTAGGAGATTGCTGTCTGAAGTGATCATGGTCACTTACAGTCAGTCCTATAAGTATTCCTCTATGTCTATCGAAGAAATATGTCTAAATTAAATTGTGAGTTTGATGTTTCCAAATAAGTTCTGCATTATAAGTATATACATGAATAAACTTTGCATATGTTTATAATGAAACATTTATTTGGAAGCACGAAACCTGTCATTTGACCCTTTGCACTCGAGAGGCGACTCTCAGTCACCATTAGGTTTCACACAGTAGATCTATCAGCAATAATGTTTCTGTAGGTTTAATTTCTTTGGAACTCGAGGTGTCAGTAAAATGATTGTCGACGAAGGTGACCTGATCCTCAAATCTCAAATTAGAGATCTCATCTTCAAAGTCAATCTAAGCTTAGCATTTGTGGCAATAGAATGCCAAGCATCTTGAGTCGTTGGTAGATACTAGAAAAAAGGGCCTCGAGCGCAAAGGGTTAATTTCCACAAATGTCTCCAATAGACACAGAGGGTACGAATACTTTTGGGACTGACTATATATGTTTTAATTGGGATATATACGTTTAATTTCAGACGAAGGTATATGGATGCAAGACCTGGGCATCTGGAAGCCTTACT